AATACATTACATAATAAATTGGAGACTCGTCCAGGGTAAATTGTAATACATTACATAATAAATTGGAGACTCGTCCAGGGTAAATTGTAATACATTACATAATAAATTGGAAACTCGTCCAGGGTAAATTGTAATACGTAACAAGAGAAACTTAATTTATGCGTTCGATAATTATTGAGATAAGTCGATGTTTTAGAACCAGAGGGTTGATCATCTGTATCTGATTTATCAATAACTCGAAATGATTGAATTATTGACACACAATCCTATCTACATTGTGAAAGCATGGCGACCGAAACTGAGCGAGATTTTCTTCATTGTGAAAGCATGGCGACCGAAACTGAACGAGAGTTTCTACATTTTGAAAGCATGGCAACCGAAACTGAACGAGATTTTCTACATTTTGAAAGCATGGCGACCGAAACTGAACGAGATTTTCTACATTGTGAAGGCATGGCGACCGAAACTGAACGAGATTTTCTACATTGTGAAGGCATGGCGACTGAAATTGAACGAGATTTAGAACCACATAGCTGTTGATGCTACTTAGTGATTGTTTGGAAATACGAATCCTTCGTTACCTTGATTCTTTCAAATCTTTAACCTTTAGAACTGAAACTAACTGGGTAAGTAAGGAATATACTGTGTATACTTGTATGGTTGTGTATCCTAACACCCAAGGTGAGTCAGTCTATACAAATTTCTATGTGTGTGTCTATATATATAATACGGTCGGTCCGTGCAAGTACAGTAAGCTGTCCAAGGCAAGTCTTAAGCATCACTGCCATTGTCAGTCTACGAAAGTAGACTGGAAAAGAAAATTAACGTGTTATAACTTTCTTAGCTTAAGCCTAGTTTTTGTTCATAAATCAACATACGCTAAATTTGACACTCACTCACTAAAGTAATGTATTCCTGGGGAGCGGGAACGTGTATCGGAGGACAGGCGTCTTCGGCTCTTCTAACAAAACTTCCTAGTTGAAAACAACGTTGACACTCATTATGTTTTCTGCATATATTCCAAACGAGCAATACGATCGGTTTCATTTTGTGGAATTAAACTTAAACGTAGATTATGCGTTACGGAAATTTTCGATTGGAAGTTTCGATTATAAACAAAACTTAAACGAAGATTATGCGTTACGGAAATTTTCGATTGGAAGTTTCGATTATAAACAAAACTTAAACGAAGATTATGCGTTACGGAAATTTTCGATTGGAAGTTTCGATTATAAACAAAACTTAAACGAAGATTATGCGTTACGGAAATTTTCGATTGGAAGTTTTGATTATAAACAAAACTTAAACGAAGATTATGCGTTACGGAAAATTTCGATTGGAAGTTTCGATTATAAACAAAACTATACCAAATTAATTTAGTTTATTTCGTAAATTTTAATAACTCTGGAGAGACATACAAATTCACCCAAATTTATCTATCTTATTAGCGCCCTATCCCCCCCCCCCTCGCCAAGCACTGAATGTGTCTTATATCGTTGGACTATTCTTGGAATCAGTGTTCCTTAAGAGTTTCGAAATATTATCAAATTGTTAGAACACAATAAACAGAGATATAGTGTGTTCAACGCTATTAGACAAATTTAAAACGCAAATTTTGCTAAACGTCTTGCATGTTTACATTAGAAAAGATTGAAATACAATTGTTGCTAAACGATTTAGAAGTTTACATTGGACAAGTTTAAAATATCATTGTTGCCAAACGCTTTAGAAGTTTACATTAGACAAGCTAGAAATACAATTGTTGTTAAACGATTTAGAAGTTTACATTGGACAAGTTTAAAATACCATTGCTGCTAAACGATTTAGAAGTTTACATTAAACAAGTTAAAAATACAATTGTTGCTAAACGATTTAAAAGTTTACCTTGGACAATTTAAAAATACAATTGTTGCTAAACGATTTAGAAGTTTACATTGGACAAGTTCAAAATACAATTGTTGCTAAACGATTTAGAAGTTTACATTGGACAAGTTTAAAATACAATTGTTGCTAAACGATTTAGACGTTTACATAAGACAAGTTTAAAGTACAATTGTTGCTAAACGACTTAGAAGATTACATAAGACAAGTTTAAGATACAATTGTTGCTAAACGACTTAGAAGTTTACATAAGACAAGTTTAAGATACAATTGTTGCTAAACGATTTAGAATTTTACATTAGACAAGTTTAAAATACCATTGTTGCTAAACGATTTAGAAGTTTACATTAGACAAGTTTAATAAGTTATAACAAGTTTTAGGCGTCAAAGAATTCTCGAACTTGGTATTAAAGGTTGAAATACATAGAATTTAAATTTCAGATCTAAAGACGTGGTTGTTTGAGCGGCTCTAGCATTATTTAAGAAAACTACACTGCCCACGTAGTGTTTACCTATCCTTACCAAAAAGTCCAGTTTTCTATTTTTGACCCTATTAGAAGGTCCATTTTTATAGTGTTTACTAGCTGTTACAAAAGGTCCAGTTTTAAAATGTCCACTCCCTACTATAATGTTCTGTATTGTATTGAATAGTCCTATTTTGTAGTGTCTATCCTTAGAAGAAAGTCCACTTTTGTAATATTTACCCAAGTTAAAAATTCCAGTTGTGTAATGTCTAACCAAACTAGAAATTCCTATTTTGTAGCCCCTACAACTGCTAAAAAGTTCTCTTTCGTAGTGTCTATAGCCACACAAAAAGTCCCGTAAAAGTGCTCTTTCGTAGTTTCTGTAGCCACACAAAAAGTCCCGTAAAAGTGCTCTTTCGTAGTGTCTATAGCCACACAAAAAGTCCCGTAAAAGTGCTCTTTCGTAGTTTCTGTAGCCACACAAAAAGTCCCGTAAAAAGTGCTCTTTCGTAGTGTCTATAGCCACACAAAAAGCCCGTAAAAGTGCTCTTTCGTAGTGTTTATAGCCACACAAAAAGTCCCGTAAAAAGTGCTCTTTCGTAGTTTCTGTAGCCACACAAAAAGTCCCGTAAAAAGTGCTCTTTCGTAGTGTCTATTGCCACACAAAAAGTCCCGTAAAAGTGCTCTTTCGTAGTGTCTATAGCCACACAAAAAGTCCCGTAAAAGTGCTCTTTCGTATTGTCTATAGCCACACAGAAAGTCCCGTTTTGCGCAAGTAGAGATTTCGATAAATTACTTAAAATACACATATTTTCACCAAATAAAAACAGCACTTTGTTTTTTATTTCAAATAACGAGAAATATGAAATAGATTGCTTCTTAAATAAAGTTATCACTTAAAATATTAAAATTCACAAACGAACAACATTTTATTATGTACAATTAAAATCTTTATTTCAAACCGATTAAAAGTTCTAAAAGTCACTCTATATGTTTTAACGTGGTTTTACATCATCTTCAGAAGTGTGAAAAATAGTAGTGTGTGCAATATAAGTACAACAGCCATGGTCATGTGACACAAGTTTATAATCACGCCATCTACATACTTTATGATTTTCTAACTCTTAATCCTTATTTAAAATCAAGTTGTTTTTGCTGTGTTTCATTATTTCTATGGTTTCTCTAATATTTCTAGCAGTCATATTATTTGGCTGAGCCAAAATAACCGTTTTTTCTCACTGGGTGATATGTCCAGTATAATTTACACGTTCAGCTAATGTAGAATTTTCACTTTTATTTTTAACATTTCTTTTACGTTCATTTATTCTAAATTTTAAGTTTCTTCTCGTTTAACTAATGTACGCACGACGACATTCACATGGAGTGATGAAAATACTTATACCATTAAAAATTCAATATAATTTGAATAAATACATGAGATGAATCTGAAAGTAATGATATGCTTATATCTTTCGATATTGTATCATTATTCACGAAAGTTCCAGTCGTTGAAATTTTAAACACGATAAATTTAACAAAAACGAGTGGGAAAACTTTAATACTTTTTACTTTAATAATAAGATCTGTAATTAGACTGAAGGCCTAGCTGTGGGTTCTCCATTATCTCGCTTGTTATGTGATCTTTTTATGGATAGGTTTGAAACTGATGCTTTACAGAATGTCAAACTTAAACCGAAAATATTGATTAGGTATGTCGATGACATGTTCGTGGTGTGGCAGCATGGTAAAGGGAACTTGCTAGAGTTCGCTAATTACTTAAATAGTCTCGAACCCTCTATTCAATTTACTCACGAAGTTGAAGAAAACAACAGCTTACAGTTTTTGGACGTATTTGTTAAGAAAAACAAGAATACGTTAGAAACTACGGTCTCTTATAAATCTTTTTTCACTACACCAAGAATCATGTCATCCAAAGTCACAAAAATGTCAGCTTTTTACTTTTATATTTACAAGCCTTTAAAACTACGTTCTAATTTAGCAGGTTTAAAAAATGAACTGTTAATTATTAAACATGTAGCATTAGATAGAGGTTTCTGGCCTTATATTGTTGATAGAGCCATGAGGAACGCCCCCAGTAGCACAGCGGAATGTCTTCGGACTTACAACGCTAGAAACCGGGTTTCGATACCCGTGGCGGGCAGAGCACAGATAGCCCATTTGTAGCTTTGTGCTTAATTCCAAACAAACAAGCCATGAGGAAATTTAACAAAATAAACGTCGAACACAACAGTAAACTAAAATCAACATTTAATAAAAAAATATATATTTTTGCGATTTATTCCAGATTTATCATGTCAAATTTTTCATAAGTTCAAAAAGCAATAAAATCTTATTGCCATTTACAGACCATTGAATAAAATTAGTCAAATATGAAATAAAACTAAAGATGAAATAAATCTAATGGAGAAAACATGTATATATATAACGTTCAATGTAAATGTGGTTGTGCAAGCATTGGTCAAACTAGAAGAAACTTAAAATTTAGAATAAATGAACGTAAGAGAAATGTTAAAAACAAAAGTGAAAATTCTACATTAGCTGAACGTGTAAATTATACTGGACATATCATCCAGTGAGAAAAAAACGGTTATTTTGGCTCAACCAAATAATATGGCTGCTAGAAATATTAGAGAAACCATAGAAATAACGAAACACAGCAAAAACAACTTGATCTTATATAAGGATGAAGGGTTAGAAAGTATGTAGATGGCGCGATTTTCTTTTTTAAATTGTAAACTAGCAGTCACATGACCATGCCTGTTGTACTTGTATAGCACACAGTTACTGTTTTTCACACTCCTGAAGATGACGTGAAATCATATTGAAACATGTTGTGTGACTTTTAGAACCGTTGATCGGTTTGAAATAAAGATTTTAATTATTTATTATGAAACGTAGTTCGTTTGTGGATTTTAAATATATACACAAGATCATGAATTTTTAACCTTTTAATAAAAGAATATTAATTGAACCTATGTCGTGAAACAAAATGAGACATTTACGACCCTTCACGCGTGGAAATAAAAATATAGTAATGAATGGACAATAGAATATGGTAACAGGGCGATCTTACCAATCTGGAGTTCAGTGATGTGTTTGTCTCTACGATGGAAACTCATACACACAAAACCATTGTTACTGAAAACAAAACAAACACAGGTGATTAGTGTTGCTTCCATTATTAACGAAAACAAACAAGACACGAAAGATTATATCGCTTCTATTATAAATGAAAACGCAACAAACACAGGGGATTAGTGTCGCTTCCACTGTTAACGAATACAAACCAAACACAGGAGATTAGTGTCGCTTCTATTATAAATGAAAACAAACCAAACACAGGAGATTAGTGTCGCTTCTATTATGAATGAAAACAAATCAAACACAGGGGATTAGTGTTTGGTGGGACGGGGATTCGAACCCGCGACCCTCAGATTGCGAATCAAGCGCCCTAACCACGCGTCTATGTCAAGCCTGTGTAACATGACTTGCATCGTAAGGGAAGGACTTAGAAATATCATAGTAATGCACAACTTTTGCAGCACCCTGTACACGCTTTTTCTTATGTAACGAATAAACAACTGGGTATTTATAGATAGTAGTGTGAAAATTAATATTATTATTAACTCTCTGAAATTAACAGTTCTTCAAAACACAGCAGCAAAATGCATGAAGTTTCTTTTAAGTTTTGTAACTTTTTATCAGGCAAGTTTGTTTGTTTTTCTTTTGATCATAGCGAAGTAACTTTATTTTTATTTTTTGGCTTCTATAGGATCTGTAGCAACTTGAAACGACATAAATTTTCCGCCTAATAAAACATCAGTGAGTAACTTCCGGTCAAAATGAATTATTTCCGGTTATCACTATACGTGAACTCTTTCTTATGAAGATTTGATTTTGTATTATTTTTCAACATCCTGTTCGTGAGTTATGACGAAAGACATACAAGTTTCTTGTTTTTTTTTATACGGACATCAAGATATAGTTACGTCATTTTCTTCTGAGATAGCATTATTGTATTTCTGTCATAATTATTTGCTGAGGGCATCGCTATGAAACTGATCGATAAGAAAATGCTTTAGACTGTAAGGGTCTATGACGCTTGAATAATATCTTTAAAATGTAAGCCTTTTATTTTATCTTCGTTTCAAAAGAAAATGTAAAAAAATTAATTGTAGTAAGTCCTGCTGAAGAAAGAAAATTAAATATTCTTAAAATAATTTAAGAGAACATTTCAATAATTACATGTAAGAATTGCTTAAGTTGTTATGCTCATAAGAAAATAAATTTCAAAATAGCAAATGGCGAAAATGATCAGGTAAAACTAGCATTTTTTGGAGTAAGAATTTATTTGTCCAGTAATTAAGGTTATAATACATCCATTATTTTTCATTTTTTCATGTTGATTTCATTAATAGGTTAATATGATAAAATATAAATATTTTATTTGAGTTCTGTTTCATTCATTTATTATTGTCGTTTTCATTATGAGGATTATTTTGCCGTTAACATCAACGTTACTAAGTAGTGAATTAATGCATTGTAATCATCACCGTTAAATTCATTAACAGTATTGGTTAGAATGTTTAATGAATCTAATTATATCACTTTTTAAATTTATATTTTATCATTGTAGTTTTATTGTAAAGATTGCCTTGCATTGTTAGCTTAAAATTTGCATTTAGGAATAATCTAAGTCTCCTAAGCTGGCCGAAATTTGAGATAGCGATGAAGCAATGGATTGTAATCTTTATAAGTAATAACGTAAAAAGCTTATATTCAATTAGCTATACTGATTAGAAGTTTGATTTTTAATTTCGCCCTAAGTAGGCAGCTTACTTTGGTCAATCGGTTTTTTATGACATTGAATGATTCTATTTAGATCCACTTACCGAAGAAGTGGTTAACACTGCGAATAAGACGGTGGTGGTGGCTTACAGTACATCAGGATGGTAACATTTTCTCTCGTACTAATTCTTTCAGTTGCTAAAGTTAATCAGTACTCATCAAAGCAAGCTATCTACATAGATCGTAACTAAACATTCAGGTTACTTTCGCGTCTTCATAACCAGGTTTACGGTGGCTTATTCGAAAGCTGGAATTCCAATGGCTAAATATGTAGGACTTGCTATCGTCAAGAGTGTGCCAGTGATGATGAGCTGTGACCCAACCAGGAAACTGACAATTTATATCAGGAAGTCCACCTATTCAATTCAGAACAAAAAAAGCTTTAAGGATTTGATGCTAATGAATATATTTTTGATGTCAGATGATAAATATTCTGAGCACAATTTTATTTAATAGTCTTCTCGTAATTTGATAAAAAATATTATTCTTGCATTAAAGAAGGGTTTGACTAAATACTTTAATAAGAAAATCTCCCACCGTATATTTGTACACATTCCATAAAGTAATGATTTCATTAAGTCACAAAATTAGGTTAATTACGTTATTGCGTCAACGCCTGAAAAAACCTCATTGATGGCAATGAAATTTTAAAATACCTTTCAATAATATAATAAGAATAGAAATAGTCAGTCCCATCCGTTTAATTTGCCTTAGTTTGTAAAGTGTTGAGTTGGGTCATGGATGAGTGAAACAACTATATTATCTTATTATCAGCCATTTATAAATTAGTAACCTACTCTTAGCTAGGCGCATGGTCCGATAGCCCTCTCGTGGTGAAACAAGGCCGTCACACGTGGCATCAGCTGACTGAGATAGGAGGTAACTATCCGGAAGACTATCGTAAATCTAGTGAAATTAAACAAAGATTTGATTGTTGTAAGCCTTGCCAATCTTTCAAGAAACACACTGTTCATAACACAACATGATAGATAAAACTATATGCTACTGGCGTCTATGAGTATCATTATAAAACCGATGATATGTTGTAAAATCCTGTGGTTATAACAATCTTGATTTGAAATAAAGATTGGTACGGAAATGCCGTGGTTATAACAATCTTAACGTCAAACAAAGATTGGTACGAAAATATCGTGGTTATAACAATCCTAATGTTAAATAAAGATTGGCGCGAAAATACAGTTGCTATAACAATCCTAATGTTAAATAAAGATTGGCGCGAAAATACAGTTGCTATAACAATCCTAATGTCAAACAAAACTGGCGCAAAATACAGTTGCTATAACAATCCTAATGTGAAATAAAGATTGGCGTGATCGACAGTGTTTAGGAGATTGAGCTGTTTAAATGATTTTGCTAAATAAAATTATATTAACATTTTCTGATTTATGGCTGCCATATATCATACACCGTATACCGTACTTATATAATGAAAATTCCACCATCCAAAGATCCACAGATTTTATATTCATTTGTTTCGAAATTTTGACTTTCTTTATTTAACTGAAACACGAAGAATGCATGTTACCTAAATGCCGAGCTACGTATCGTGAGGTCCTAAGCTCGAGCCCGTGATGTGTCACTAAACTTGATCCGTATTTTTATCATGATTTCATTGTAAGTGTTGCTTTTCTACCATTTTGTTAAAAATAGCTCTGTAGGTGGCGCTCATTTTTGTTACTCTTTTTTTTTTTTCTGGTCAACAATTCAAAATTAGAGCCTATGCCTAAGCCTTGGAAGTCTCTGATTCAAAATCAGAGGCTATGCCTGAATCTTAGAAGTCTCTGATTCAAAATTAGAGGCTATGCCTGAGCCTTAGAAGTCTCTGATGTGGATGTTTAGCTCATGTATCGCATAAGGTGTCATTTAGGTTGTAGAGAACAAATACCATAATAGAACACGTATATTCATAAAACCCTCATTTAGTGGAAGGGAAAAAATATTCACCTTTAACTCTAAACCTGAAACCTGAGGGTGAAACCCACTCAAACGACCATTTTGATTCAAGTCAACTATCACTTTTCTGATTAGTAATAATAGTTTTAAACTATTAATGATAAATACTTTCCCTGAGGTGTATAGCAACGTTTTCTTAAAGGTTTCTAACTTTGTAACGTATGTGAGGCACCGTCATGAACTCGACTAGCTTTTTTATATTTCCTTTGGTTTTATAACGTTTAAATTCTTCGCTTTTCCTTCTTTATTTCTTCTTTTTATTTAATAAGAAACAGATCTTTGCTCCGTATTCAAGTCACCAGAAATTGAGAAATGCAATACGGTCTATTCAAAATAAATACTGTCATTTTGAACGTTTGTAATCATTGGTTTTCCATATTTTTTGTTTCATTTTGAATAATTCGTTTCTTCAGCTCGCGTACACGAACATTCAGTGTATCCTACTTTAAACAGATCGATCTTGTAGAATCTCCAAGAGCACGTCCTCTATCGATTATTCGCTGTTGATTCCTTTTTCTTAACTTCTCAAGTTTTCTTCAGTCATGTACTAACTATTGTGGATCGTGATTTCTCGTGTTTCATAGAGTAGCAAGAAATCATCCATCAGGTTATTGGTTTCAATACACACGAACTTTCCTAATTTCGTTATGATGGAAGATTGAAGTTGTAACTCTGCAAGTAGGAAGCTACTACAGAAGCAATGTGTTACTTTAGATAATGTAACCGTGTAATCATCCATTCCCTTCCTTTTGAAACATCGGATTGTTTAGTCCTCCCCCACAAAAACAACAACATAAAAAAGCAACTTTCATTCTATAAAGTTGAATACGCATACGAGTACTTTTCTATTTTCATATGATGAATATTTTGATAATCTGCTTTAGAATCTCCATAGATTCTCTTTCACAAACGCTCAAAAAATTGATTTTAAAGAATAAAAACAAATCAGTAATAGATTGAAATATTATTATTAAAGACTAAAAGAATAGATTAACTTATAAACTTGGTTTGAACCTGTTTTTGCTTTGATGAAAACAAATTTATAGTCTACACAATTCTTGGACTTATGAATAGCTGTGCTTTACCTTATCAACCTGTGTCTCCAAAACCACCAAGCATCGTCTCACAAACATTAAAATATTGCTGAAGTAGTAAATAGTTCATGGTCACTCATCTCAGTGGTAAATATAATTATTTTTTACGACAGCATAACTTAAAGGATAACCAATTTAACTCAGAACAATGAATCTGTAATTTCGTCTTTGTAAGACGTAAGTTAAAATAAAACAAATCTCATCATATGAACGTAAACTTACACAACATCGATAAGTATGTTCGTCTTTGTAAGACGTAAATTAAAATAAAAATCACATCATATGAACCTAAACTTACACAACATCGGTAAGCATCTTCGTTTTTGTAAGACGTAAGTTAAAATAAAACAAATCTCATCATATAAACGTAAACTTACACAACATCGATAAGCATCTTCGTTTTTGTAAGACGTAAATTAAAATAAAACAAATCTCATCATATGAACGTAAACTTACACAACATCGATAAGCATCTTCGTTTTTGTAAGACGTAAATTAAAATAAAGAAATCACATCATATGGACGTAAACTTACATAACATCGATAAGTATCTTCGTCTTTGTAAGTTAAAATAAGTTTCAGCGTGCAAACGTAAACTTACAAAACATCAACAAATACTTGCGTCGTTGTAGGACACTAGTTAAAATAAGGACAAATACCAACATGTAAACTTGAACTTACGAAACATCGATAAGTATCTTCGTCTTTGTAAGATATTCTGTAATTTTTCTTATTGATCATTTTTCCAACTAGATAATGAGCTGAGCCTTCTTTCCACGTGGCTACACAGGTCAGCTCCTCCTCTGAAATAGAGTTCAAGTAATCACAGCGACACTTAGACTAAGTAAGCTCTCTTCATATCCGCACTCCTTCTATATCACTCCGTATAGTCGTAAAATGATTTTATTCTAGTTAGTTTCATTATTTATCCCTATAATTAATTTTGCAGTGAATGATGTTAAGACGTTTGTGCACGACTAAAGCAGCACGTTGAATAAACTCACCGCTACTCTCTGATTTCAGAACATCTACACAAGCCTGAAAGCGGAACAAAAGTTTGGAGTCATCGGTGCAAGAGTCTATAGTAGAGACCGGGTAGTTACACTCTCCGTGACCTCGGCTGTAGCTAAAGGTGAAAGGTCCTTTGAAAGGACAGGGAACTGGAGCAGCATTCACTGGAGAAATATAGAAAAAAAACAAAAACGATAAAAACATTTCAGAATACAAGTAAGCTAGTAAACTGAAATTGAGTTTATACGAATTAAGTACACGAAATAATAACGAAAATAAAAGTTTAGAAAGATTCTAGAATAAAATAAAACAAAATATAATGAATGAAGACATCTCGAGAGTTGTTACATTATAGAGGTTTGACGTAAGTATGCAATGAGAGGAGAGCTTCAAACCACACAAAAACAGTAGTAATAAATTTAATTATTCGTGACACAGAACAGTGAATCAAGGAACTATAATTAGGCACATAAAAAGATGAGAAATGATGACGATTAAAACATTCATGAAAGACAAGAAAATATATTAAAAGATGACAGTTTCGAAGCCAAGAGGTACTAACCCTACAAAATTAAAGAAAAGAAAAAATGGCAGATGAGAAATAAATTCGTTTGTTTATTGTTAAACGCAAAACTGATATAATGAGTTATCTGTGTTGTGCCTAACGCAAGGACCGAACCTTGCATTTTGTTATCATACACTTTCATGTTTACCCCTAAACCTTGTGCCACCAGGGAATTATTGTAATACAAAAATTAGATATAATTTTACATTTATTTTCAACATCTATAATCTTTATTTCTATATCTAAGCTTCGATTTTTCTCGTAACTAACTAAAAAATGTTTAGTATAACTTGATCTTTGAAATTTTATGCATTACCAAAACCATGTAAATACAAAATTAATAAAGAAATAATATCGAATGGTTTCATAAATTTAATGCTATTATGCTCTGTGATTTAAAAATAAAATACGAAAGGTATAGATATTTGGTTTTGTTAATAGATAAATTTATGAATATTCTAATGTAGTAAGGATTAAAAAATAGTTTTACTAGGGATTAAAAATAATAGTTTTACTAGGGATTAAAATAATAGTTTTATTAGGGATTAAAAAATAATAGTTTTACTAGGGATTAAAAAATAATAGTTTTACTAGGGATTAAAAATAATACTTTTATTAGGGATTAAAAACAATAGTTTTACTAGGGATTAAAAATAATAGTTTTATTAGGGATTTAAAAATAATAGTTTTATTAGGGATTAAAAATAATGGTTTTACAACATCCATAAAAGTAGACCGGAATATCTATAATTTTGGTTCAAGTCGGCCTTAAATATAAGATGGAAAATAAATCGTTATCAAAATCCGGCTTTTTAGATAGTTATATGCACTTACAACAAGCATTACTAACTGTTTAGTTTTACTATGACAGTTTTTGATTTAAATTATTATATCCTGCAAATATAATAATTGTTTGTTGCTGATGTTAATGTCGTAAGCTCAAGATTTTTCGGGGAAGAATTCATGGACCACAAATGTAATAGAAATATTTCGTAAAAAAACTTTTAGTCTCAGAGGAGTATTATCGTCAAGTTTTATTTAACGTAAGTTTATAATTAGAATATACTGACTATTTGTTCTCATTTGAAAGCTGTACGAAGATAACAGTAAATAGAAAGAAACTGTATATCATTAATTATTGTATTACCTATAAAGAGTGGAGTATTACGACCTTTTATTCCACTGAATGAGAAATTACATCATTAAAAATCATGCAGTCTTTGCTGTTGTATTTTTTGTTTTTCATTTAGAACCGTAACTTCTATTAAGTAAAGATTTTTTTTTTATGGTATACTGAAATAATTCTTCGATTTTCTGATTGGTTTACTGCCACTATTGTCACACGGCGGTAACCAGTATATTTCTCTGATTGGTTAACTGCCATTATCGTCACTTAGAAATAGTTAGTCTTTTTCTCTGATTGGTTAACTGCCATTATCGTCACTTAGAAATAGTTAGTCTTTTTCTCTGATTGGTTTACTGACACACAATAGCTGAGTTATTTTTCTCAGAGTTGTTTGCTGTTAGGTTGTTTTCTCTAATTAATTCGCTACAGCACTTATCACACATGATTGTTTATGTTCGTCAGATTGTGCTGTAAGGGCAACAGAAACAGAATGTAAACATAAAAAAAAAACTGTTGAAGTATATACATGTTCTTGTAATTCATACCATGATATAAAAACTCCATTAAAAACAAACGGTGATTGGTGTAACAATTAAAATTGAAATTGTTCGTCCTGTATTGAACGGTGAAGTTTCAAAGATTCGTGATTTTCACAAACACTTCAAATCATCTGGAACATTATATATGCAAAGGTTAAACACGGTCCTACTTAAATGTTTGGGGTTCTAATTGTATATGATTTTCTTGTTTCACTAAAATATCGGTTCTATTGATTTGAAAAACACTATGTTTGCCCTATGCATGACAATTCTATGTTATTGTATTTCTATATAACACTATTTTTGCCCTATGTATGAGAAATTTACATGTTATTGTATTTCTATAATACCATGTTTGCCCTATGCATGACAATTTTACATGTTATTGTATTTTTATATATAATATTTTGCTTCTTTCTTTGTTTGTTGTTGAGCACAAAGCTATGGGCTATCTGTTTCGAGACCCATTGTGGTTCTCGAAACCCGGTTTCTAGCGTTGTAAGTCGGATGTGCCACTGGGGAGGGGAGCGCTCTGGTGTTCAATAAAACCCTTACCCACAATTATTTAGGGAAAGTAAGAGATATATTTGAAACGCTATTTTTATGCAGCTTTAATTCGAAATACGTTTAAGACTAATTAAGATGAAAGCGATGGAAAAAAAACACCTTAATTCCAGTGTAATTTCAGGAATATAAAGTCTCGATATTTTGCCAATTTATGTTTTACACCACTATAGTTTGGTGTAAGATAATCTTGCTTGTCTGATATGTGTATATACCCGAATCTCTCTCTCAATTTGAAATTAGTTCAGATATGGGCTAGAGTGAGAAATGGTGTTTAAACCAAAATGAATAATATTTTCTGATCTTCCATGAACCATATTAACCTTTGTTCTCCGTCTAAAAATAAAGAATGGGTACAAAAAAGTTCTTATAGTTGTCATAAACCTTTGTTGTGATAACGTATATAGCCATCAGATCACTAAAACTGATTATATTTTCATTACATATTACACAGGCAACGAAATATACAAGAATTTAAGTTGGAATTAATGCCTCGAGGCTGCTATGAAAGTAAATACAATCACTATCTTATTTGTGTACCAGCTGACATCTTTATTATGCTAATACAGATAAACTAACTTTATTTAGAAGATGTATACCAACCATACTCAACATATGGTAGGATAACATTCCACAGAGATTTAACAATTGGGAATCCTTATCTCTACAGACCAGAAAACCCTAACTTGTCATCCTATTTATTATTTCTCGTACTATACCCTGTTCCTTCTCCATCTTGATGAAATATAAAGAGTTGCCTTGAAAGACTTGTCGTCATTTATATTATTCTCATTGATGTTTTTTGTTTAACATGCTCATCTTTTCTCCTGCCCTCTAGTGTCGTCTTTTCGAATATACTTGAATTAATCATACGTCTTTTTATTTTTCATTTCTCATACATCAGTCTGAATTGTTTTTTTAATACATCTGTTATATGCGGACTTACAAGGCTAGAAACCGGGTTTTTATATTCTTGGTGGGCAAAGCACGGATAGCCCATTGTGTAGCTTTGTGTTTAGCTACAAACTAACAAACTAATACATCTGCATTTATCATTCTGCCACCTGGCGGCCTAAAGTATATATATTAGGTCGTCAAGAAATTAATGTCCATTTTTATTAGGTGAAAAAACCTGAACAACTTATATATCAAAACATTTATTAAATGAAATAGTCTCCATACTTATCGATGGTGTTTTTCCATCTTACAATCAGGTTGTTAATGCTCTGATTACAGAATTCACTTGGTTTTGAAACAAAAAAACAACATGTCGATGTTCTCTTTAACACCTTCCACATTTGCATACGTTTTCCCATTAAGGTGTTGTTTCAGCGAACGAAAAAGAAGGTAACCTGATGGTGCCATATCTGGAGAATATGGTGGGTGGGGGAGAACTTCCGAACCCAACACCTTAATCTTGTGTTGCGTCAAACGTGCCACATGTGGATGTGCATTGACGAGTGAAGGGAGTTTCTGATGAAAGGCTTGATTTAAACGTTCCAGTTGCTGGCTATAGATCTCTGCATTGACACTTCGCTGTGGATTTAGGAGTTCGAAAGGAATTACTCCTTTTCGATGACGAGGAACCCACTTTGAGACTAATAATGGCTGGAGACGGCTTGAATGGGTAATGACGAAAAACTTTAATATAAGTTTAACATAACAGCAAATGTACAACGTTTCGACAAGGTTTTGTCATCAAACATTTTTCCTTTGATGTCCCACCAAATGCAAAGCAACACTTTCTGCAGATGGAGTCCAGGTTTTGGAGTCAGAAATGGTTTTTGGCCTGGGATTGAGCCATTGTTTTTGGCGTTTAATAATTGTATAGAGAATCCATTTTTCACCACCGGTGACAATTCTGTCGAAAAATGGTTCACGCGTATTACGCGCTAGAAAAGACGACGCAACTATTACACATTGGAAACGATGATCATGAAAGAGTTCGTGAGGCACCCAAACACCTTCTTTATGGAGTTTTCCCATATTCCTTAGATCTTTACGTATTGTGTCATGAAAGACATGCAATTTCAGAGTCATTTTATGAATGCGTTGACTCAACAAGCGTCTTCAGAGCATCTATATCAATTCCAACATGTCGGCCCCTGCCATCACAGTTTTTAAGGATAAAATCACCTGAACGAAATTTGCTGAACCATCGTTGACACTTATGAACGTTCAAAACATTTTCATAAACTTCTTTGGTATTCTTTGTGGCTACAGAGGCGTTGATTCCCTTCTTGTATTCAAACAGCATTACATGCCGAATGTGTGTTTCGTCGTGTGCCATCACTATAAGGGATTAGAGTATACTAAACTTTACACATTATATAGGCTACACTAACGTGACGCTTAGGTGGTTCGTTTAACTATTATACGTTTTTTTTGGGGGGGGGAGGGATCAGTGAAAGTGTTCCAAAACGCGACATTAATTTCTAGACAACCACAAGCATTAGTTTTCCATCTTTATATTGAAACTATGATAATTGTGTTCTGAAAAAAAACCAGCAACTTCATGATAACTGAAGACTGAAAAAGAACCGAAATATTACGCGCTTTGAGTGTATTGTTTGTTTGTTTTTAAGCACAAAACTACACAATGAGCTATCTTTGCTGTGCCCACAAAGGTATCTAAACCAGGTTTTTAGCGTTATAAGCCTTTAAATATATATATACCCCTACTTTGTAAACTTCGTTAGTTATTTATCATGATATGTTTTGTTTTTAAGCTATAAATATTTATTGCTCTTTAAGGCACGTAATCTAATGGCTTCCATAATATATAGTTTCCTGGTTGAACCAGAAATTTCACTTGTAAAAAAGGTCCATTTAGCACTTGTGTTTCCGATTTTTGTTTTCAATACTCAACACACATAACCATTCTTCAATACTATTATATTACCGACTATGTTCCAGAGAGAGATGGGAAACGGGCGACCTTAATTATGTGTCACACCCCTTTACGTTTGCAGAGTACGTCGACTATACGATTTTTGTACGTTAGCTGGCTCGTTTCTAGCACGTCAATACCTAACGATCATGTGAATCATCATTCGTTTGTTTCCATGGCTATTATTACTAGCAACTGTTTGTCTGGAACAGCTACCGTTGTCAAGAGATAAGATTTTCTCCCGAATTCATAATGCAAATATGTTCATCCCACCAGAGAAAAGAGAAGCACAGCTGTAAGTTTTCAAAATCTTATCTTTTAATGGAGTTTGCTGGAATCGTGACCTTTCGTGTTGTTCTGAAGACAAAACTGCGTTCCTTGCGAAGGTTTCAGCTAATGGAAGCTGACAATAAATGTACATGACTTAAGCTACAAGAAGCTTTTCCATAGGCTTCAACTTAATGTTACATAAATACACAGTAATGCTTGCTTAGCTAATACGATACCTTCACGCTTTGTCTCGGTGCTTACGATCACGTTTTCCGAAATCCTTTTCATTGCCTCTTTTATCTATTTATTATTTTATGGAATGTGACTTGTCGTAACCTTATCGAAACATCTCGTAATGCCGCAAGGAAAATATTCGAGAATGTTAATTATCTCCAACGAAAGTCAACACCGGGTCATTTTTTACTTATTTTTTGTTTATTTGTTTTTAGAGCAAAGCCACATTGGACTATCTGCTATGTTCACCATGGGAAATCGAATCCCAGATTTCAGCGTTGTAAGCCCTTAGACTTACCACTGTCCCACGTGCAGACAATCTGAAAAACAAATAGGAGGAAAGGAGTATGTTTCAAAACATAGAGAACGTCTGGTGTAGCAATCAATATATGTATTTACAGTTGCATACTCTAGTTACATCACAGGTAGAACGAGCACATTGTATTTACGAGTTAAAATAATCTAAATCACATGACATTGTCATTTTAACTTCAATATATGATCTTGATCATTTCCTTTAAATATACTAATCTTCAAATGTTATAACCTACGGGATCTTACGTTCGTCAACTATTCGAAACATCGCTTTAACGCTCCCATGGATCACTATTTGTAGCCCGGCATGGCCAGGCGGATAAGGCATTCGACT